TAGTGGCACTTTGATAACCGCATTTCGATACAAGTTTCACCCCTCTTAATAGTACGGCTATCAAACCTAAATGTGATCACACTCTCTAAGTGTCTTGATCACCAAAATAAAATATCTCCTACAAGTTATACCTTTGCCTTGAGCTTTTGTTTTCTCTTTTTCTTTTCCAAGTCGAAGCACTTGATCATCACCATGCCATCATCTTTATCATGCTATGATCTTCATTTGCTTCACCACTTGGAGTGTGCTACCTATCTCATGATCACTTGATAAACTAGGTTAGCACTTAGGGTTTCATCAATTCACCAAAACCAAACTAGAGCTTTCACCGAGCCGGCCTCGCGCGAATCGGAGAATCGGCACTTCTTCCGAGGCCCCGGACGAGGGGGCCTCGACGAGGGGGCCTCGACGCGGGGGCCTCGGCGAGGCGGTCTCGGGCGAGTCGGAGAACCATTTGCTTCCGCTGGGGCTCGGCGACGGGGTCTCGGGCGAATCGGAGATTTCGGTCGAGACCTCGTTTGTTTATTCCGTTGGTTCTGTTTTTAGGGTCTAAGCAGTTTCTCGATCTTTGCTTGGGGTACCCCATTTTTTGGTATCCGACAGTGCTGATCAGTGGGACTTGTTGGAGCACTCAAAGGCCCACATCACTTTGATCCAGTTCAGCCGGCCCTCTTTAGATTCCATGTCTAGAAAACCCTGGAGACTGAGCCTGTCTCTGCAAAGGTTCAGGGCTTGAACGAATACTTCATCAGCCTCGCTAATACCATCTTGTAGCAGAATGTTTCGGACTTTGGCCAACTCCTGAGCATCGGTTTTGTGACGGGCCTTCTGGGACCTAGCCTCTCTGAGAAATTGGCCGAGGTCTTCAAGGCAATCTTCTACAGTTGGAGTTTGTCTACTCTTCTTACTGCGAGGACTGTTAACTGAAAATTTCCTATGGACTCTCTTCGAGGGCTGATGAGTACTAGGTGGGTCGACTGGCTCGTCCGACAAGGCTGGAGGAGTGCGAGGGCTTCCATTACTGGGTGACTTGTCAGGTCGATGGCCCCCCGCCGATACCAACTGGCCCCTGTCACGTGGGGTGCATCCCAAAATCATGATAAGTTGCTCACAGCATTGGGGCCGTTTATACTTGTTTCTAGCGGGTTGGCTACTTTCCTACACGTGTGGCAGTGATGTCGAAGTTAGTACTTAGTTAGTAGGAAGCTAAATGCTACAAAAAATCAACGAAATGCGTGTAGTTAGTACCCCGGGGCTGGCGTCGTACCACTCGGGGTCAGCTGTAACCTCTCCAGTCAGTGGGTCACGGCCTAGCCCAGTATGGGTCTGGCCGTCGCGCTAGTTGAAGCAACAACGTTTCAGCTCGTTGTACTTGTTCTGGCAAGTTTTCTTGTTGTACCCAAGGTCCGTGATTTGGTTGAAGTCATGAGTGATTTTGGTCCACGCTAGTGAGGTTGGACCGTGGGCAGAGGTCCAGTGATAGAGCTCTTTTTGCTGGAGGATGAGGTCAAGAAGGACAGAGGTTGCTCTGTCCTCCCACACAGCACGGTCCTGGCTCATCTGATTCAAGGATCGACAAAGCTATTAGTAATGTACCAGTCGCAAAATCTGCTGGTATAGATATACTAATTGATTTGTAATGCTTTCTTCTATCACGGATACTACTAGTTGCCTAAAAGTGTAGGCAGCATAGAGCAAACCAAATAACTCAATAACTAGAACACTTGTCCCTTAAATGAATTATAGGAATCAATTGGTAAAAAAATAGAGAACAACAAAGGCAACACACACAAAAAAGAGAGAGAAATCACAGCCATGTGGCTTGTGTCAACAGCCTAGAGGATGGAACTGCACACAACCAAGAATCTGCTGCACACTGAGCTGAGCATACATTTGCAAAGGATAACGGAAAACCAAATGCAAACTGCAAAATAACAAATAGTAGCCCTAACTTGCCTTTAGCGGCGGTTTTCGTCCTTTTGAGCAGAGGTTGTAGTGCCTGCCAGCAGTTAGAGAGCAAGACGAAGCCGACGACACTGCCAGTTTAGGCAGCGCTGCTCACACCCGGACGAAACGTCCCTTCTATGCCTGCAATGCAAGCATAGAGCACAATAGTAAGATGAAACACCTAATATGAAAAACTAAACATTGAAAGGGGTAAAGAACATCGCATGTATACTGTGTAACATAATCTTAGTAAAAGTTGGATCATGGAAGCAAAATAATTCCACACCTAGTTGCATGAGAATCAAGTTACACAAATGCACCAGAGATATATATCTGAGTAACCTAGCATCTCTTCATGTACAGATGACTTTTAGTAACAAATCTAGAATGAAATATCAAAAAATAGGACCTATTAATAATGCATGAACATTCAAAGGATTTTCTAGTTATCAGTTATCACCTAACTGACCTACTAAAGACAACGCAAAAATTGTTCAACAAAAACTAACCACTTTGATGAACCAACTTAATGCTGAATGCAATGAAAACCAAGAGTTGTAACACTCCATACTTAGCATTCAATATACAAGTATAGAACAAACTCATTAAATCAGGTCCAATTTGAAATATGATGAACATATGACGATATAAACAAACTTATATATGTTATCTCCTACTGATATAGTAAAATAGCACGAATATTGTTCAAAGAAATAGCACTTCAATGAAATGGAATCATATGGAATGCTGATAGTGACTGAAGACAGTAGTTCTAGCACTTAACTAATACTTTGCAAGCACACAGTGACACAGGAGGCACAATACTGATAAGGAGTTTAAACCTGCATTCTATAGAATACTTAGCAGGTATAAAAAAGCAAGGGGAAGAGATCGAACTTAGTGTGTGGTAATAATAGATCAAAAAGAGACATGACTACATGTTGGATCTCAGATCCGACGGGGTCAAAGTGCGCGGCGTGGGGTTCGGGGGGGGGCTTACCGTGGTGGAAGGAGTCGCCGTTGATGGAGGCGGGGTCCGAGGAGGAAGGCCGAGCCCACTGTCACCGAGGCCGGCGAGAGTGAGGGAAACCCTAGCCGCGCGGAGCTCAACCTACAAGACGACCAGCTGCGACTCAGAGGAGGCTAGGTGAGAGGACGGAGGCGTGGGATCCGGGTTACCTCGCTGGCCAAAGTCGTCGTCGATGGAGGCGGGGTTCGGGGAGGAAGGCCGAGCCCACTGTCACCAAGGCCGGCAAGAGTGAGGGAAACCCTAGCCGCGCGGAGCTCAACCTACAAGACGACCAGCTGCGACTCAGAGGCGGCCAGGTGAAAGGTCGGAGGCGTGGGATCCAGGTTACCTCGCTGGCCGAAGTCGTCGTCGATGGAGGCGGAGTGGGGGAAGAGGACGACGACACTTTCACCGTAGCCCTGCCGAGGAGGACGGAGTACATAGGCAGCCGAGCCTAGATCTAGGGGCCACCGACGGCGGCCGTTGACGCGGCGCAGGCTACCGCCCGTACATGCGCGGCGCGAAGGCGAAGAGCGGCTCGTCAACGGGAAACCCTAGCCACCGCGAGCGACGGGAGGAAGGGGAGAAAGTGATGGACAGAAGTCCGCAACGGATATAAGCTCCACCGCTCACCGGGGCTAGCCGATCTTCGACTATCGAACGGTCAGGGGCGATAAGCCCAAAGACCAACCAATTTCAAAAGTCACAGATCGAACGGGCTGATTAGCCGTCGTTGCGTTGGGACGATCGGCGATGTAGGCCCTCACGTCGAGAATAGCCCACCGCGGTGTGCGCCACCTCATGCGGGGAGTCCGGTGGTCCTCAACAAAGTGACGCAATGACGCTTCCTTAAAATTCGTGGCCATGAATCCTCGTACCTTCTCCTCCTCCGCCCTGAGACGTTTAAGTAGAGCAGAGGGCAAATCAGATTCGGGAACAAATCGAGGTCAGATAATAAGGGATCGAAACGGATTGCATCGGGAGAACCCGGTCTGGAGAAGAAAGGGACGCGGATACAGAACTGGTGCCGGCGCCCGGCGGCGGCGGAACAACGGAGACGGAAAAAGGATTAATTGCTTGCTTCCTCGTCCTACCTAGATTTGGAAGTTCCACCGGTGAGTCAAGGTCTCTTCCTGAAGATCGGCAATCTGTGCTGTTGCATTCGGCCATCACCGCTACCAGCCGGAGAGACGCCAGTGCCGGCATGCCACTGCTGTTGCTACTGCTGATCGGTGCTCGACTGTACCTTGGGGCGGGGGGGATCAGTTTTTTTATGAGCAACAGGGAAATCGGTTTTGTTTCTGAAAAGTAATAAATAATAAATACCAAAATACGGAGTACTCCCCTCGGCCTCACAACCTGCGGAGCACACATGTCGAGTGGAATTGGGCTTCTAATGGGCTGAGTCCTCTGCGTGGGCCACGCAGGGCGAGGCTCTAGGCTCGCCGGCCTCATCCTCCTGGAGACCGGACGGAGTGCTCTACATTTTCTTGCAGTCGTCGTCCTCGTTCTCCCCTCTCCTAGTCCTTGGCGCGTAGTGGCGAACTGGAGAGGCGAGGTCTACAATCATCCGGCGACCCGGACCTCGATTGGTGCCTTCTGCTGTTGGTAAGGAAGCCCTACTTCTCTTGGATGGATTCTTCTACGACCCAGTCTTGTTCCACAGGATCGTTTCTTTGCTGCGACCAATCAATCCGAGATCTTTCCTGCTCGGACGGATACTCCAATCCACCCAGTTTGTTGCGTGCTGGAGCCTGGAGCTCTAGTAGCGCAGTTTATTTTTCCAATAATAAATTTGGGGGTTTCAACTGAACCTGCCCTCCCGTGATATCTTCAATCGCTCGGCACTAATAGCACTATGTAGAACTGATTATCTGTACTAGCCACTAGACCTGATGGGAAGCGGAGACGGCACCGATGACAGCACGTCAGCACGGAAGGCCAGGGCTATGCTGCCGACATTGATTCCATCAGGGAGGCGCAAGCACGCATTGCGCCGTACGTCCACAGGACGCCCGTTCTGTCGTCGACGTCCATCGATGCCATGGTGGGGAAGCAGCTCTTCTTCAAGTGCGAGTGCTTCCAGAAAGCGTGAGGGTTACTGACCGATGTGTTGTTATTCAGTTCTGGGATGCTCTGTATTTGTACTGTACTGATTGTTTTAGTCGGGAAATGTTGTGTTGTGTAGGGGCGCATTCAAGATCCGAGGTGCTTCGAATTCGATATTCGCACTTGACGATGAGCAGGCATCAAAGGGCGTTGTGACACATAGCAGGTTTGGTGCTAGCTTCATCTTCATTGTTCTTTCTGCAATTTTTAGGACAGAAAGGCATCGATATGACGATATGGTAGGATGGTTTCTTTGCAGTGGGAACAATGCCGCCGCGGTGGCTTTGGTTGCAAAGCTGCGTGGCATACCTGCACACATTGTCATACCAAGAAATGCACCAGCGTGCAAGGTTGAAAATGTTAAGCGGTATGGTGGTCGTATTATCTGGAGCGATGTCAGCATTGAATCGAGAGAATCTGTTTGTAAAAAAGTCCAGGAGGAGACTGGTGCTGTTCTTATTCATCCCTTCAATGATAAATACACTATCAGGTGTGTTTTAGACTTTTGGTCATGAAATTTTTTATTTTTCTTTAAACTCTTCTATTACATGAAAAACCATATCCATTCCCCAAAGATAGAGATGCGTCCAATATGCAATGAGATTATTTATCTGTTTTATTTCACAATGGCTTAGAGCCTTAGACATTACTTCAGGTAATGTTAGGTGGATTTAGTGTATAACTTATCTTTATGTCCATGTTAGAGCATCGCCAAGAGATTGTCTAAAATTAGTTGCCAAATTCCATATTTTAGCTATTCTGTAAAATAGAAAACTCCTCAAAAGAAGAGGACTCTACAACAGCCTAGCTATTTCTCATCTTCTATATTGAAAAGTTCCACGTCACCTGCCCAAATCCCAACCGGGCAAACTACCGTGATGGTGCCTGAAACACAGGTAGTAGCATCTTCATTGTGCTCACATTAGACGCAGCTCCTTTACAGAGTTCATATCGATGACATTGCAAAGTACAGATCATTGACATGGCTCAGTACAAAACTGTATATTCCAGCATAATATAGAACTTTGTCAAGTCTGATCACTGCAATTTCCAGAGCTAGATGCTGATCTCTTTGATTTGTTCTACTGGAGTAGTAGCCTAGTACTCTATTAAAAGAACAGCATTGCTGCTAGTCTGCTACTACTGGAGCCGTGCAGGTGCAGCGCGGTGGCCAGCAGAACCAGCAGCATTTGAGTTTGCTACACGGCGCCAGAGTTCGGCGGCCTCCACAGAGCCCGTGGTGCGGGTGCGGCTGATCTGATGACTGGTTAAGCTGTGCCTGTTCCCACCATCGCCCGCGCCCCACGCCGCCATGACCGCCGCCTCCTCCAGCTCGGCCGGTGTGGGGCACTGGGGCGGCACGGGGACAGGGAGGGTGATGGCAAACGCAGGCTCGCAGCTACATGAATTTGTGTATCCATGACGATGTTGACGAGCACTGGCACCTAGAGGGAAGCGACGACGCCGTAGAGCACGACGGTGGTTGTGGACGGGAAGGGTCGAAGCCAGACAAAGCAGTGTACCGGCGGGGCATCAGGAGAATAGAGCCGCGCGAAGCGCTCTCTCGCGGGAAGGACTCCCCGCACCCGGGAAATCACGCGGGAGGAGCGATGGCGAGCGTCGTAGGTTTGCTTTATTTACCTAGCGGAATTCATGGGATAGCCGGCTGGGTATTTTAGAAAGCCAGATACAATATCTGTTGGAGCCTATTGTATGCCACAAATTATCTAAACTGGATTCAAAACCAAAAATAGCATCTCTGTTGGAGTTGCTCTTAGTCCTAGTTCCTAAATCATAAGCAACTGTTTTCTAGTGCAAGAGAAGTCAGTCCAGCATTTGGAACTGATGTTTTTTTTCATGATCACTATGATTTGAAAGCAGTGTGCCCAAATAGTTTCATTAGCAATTTACTGAAGGACAGAGCATATAGGTTTAGAAGTCAGTTCACCTTTCTGGGGTCCTGTGTCGTCCCTGGAATGTTGAGGACCAGTGAACCACATGTGTCCATGTACTAAGAATTTCAATCAGATGTTTACTTCAGTGCTGATGGATTCTTCTAGTGAAATGATTGCAAAAATGATATGAAGTTACTTGATACCTATGTTAGCACATCAACCCACTTTTTTTATCTTGCTTGCTGGGCCATTTGTTCTAAATAAATACCCAATTTTACTTTTAGACAAAAGTAAGACCCTGCTTGTATAGAAGGTTACAGATTTCAGGAGAAATGTGGGTAGCGGAATGAAAGAACTTGGAGCTTAAGTTTGTGGGCGCAACCGGGCACAAAAGGAAGCAAAATGACATGAAATAAAAAGGCTGCTTAATCCATTCACAGTGTACTGTAAAATATGGACCAAAAAAAATACAAACTACTGCTATCATGTCATGTGAACCATTTCTAAATCAACCCACTTTCTCAGGTTTCGCGTTGTGCATTGCTGATATGTACTCTTAATGCATGGCAATTTGTGATGATTTTGTTTTTATTTGGTAATAATTGTCCAATCGTGGACTAATTAGGCTCAAAACGTTCGTCTCGTAAAATACAACCAAAATGTGCAATTAGTTTTTTATTTCATCAACATTTAGTACTCCATGCATGTACCGCAAGTTTAATGTAACGGAGAATCTTCTTTTTACATAGTGTTAAAGTTGGGAATTTGATGGAACTAAACATGGCCCAAATGTTCTTCAAATCGATTCTCCATTTTTTTTTTGCAAGACAAATCGATCGATTCCCCGTTGATATGTACTCCGTTTTTTTTTTTACAAAAAATAAGCTCGACTGATTTACGCTGGCAAAATGAGTTCCGCCCGAAGGCTGTCTGCAACAGATCCATCGCAGAACTCAAATCCAAAACATTCAAAATAGTTCTTCAATACAATACATATATCTTCCAACTGAGTACCTATATAAAAGACCTATTTTAGATGTTAGAAGAGACATAACCTAAATCTGAGTATCCTCTCTTTTATAGACCCATTTGCAGAAAGGGTTATCTTTTGCGTCTTATTGTTAAACTGTCTCCAACGAAAAGAACCCAAACCGGATACCCATTCGATACTATAGGTCACGTACAGTCAAAAGGTTACGGACGCAAATCTCACCTTCTCCGACAGACGCCGAGCAGAGCAGCCAAATCCGCCGCCTCCCTCCTCCTCACTACAGCGCGATCCGGCGAAGCGTTGCCGCCTCCCTCCTCCTGCAGCAGATCCGCGTCGCCGGTCATGAGGATCTCGGATGCTTGCGGGCGCGCGCGGATATCTGGAGGAATCGGCGGCGGTGGCCGCGAGGCATGTGGGAGACGGCGACGGCGCTGCGCGCGTGGACTCCCTCGCGGCAACGGCGTTAGCCATGAGGAATCGCTCTGCGTGGGCGGAGTGGCACAATGGGGGCCATGAACTTCGAGGTTGACGCCGACGAACGCGGCCACCGGGCGCCAGCCCCACGACGCCCACTTGAAGTCCAAGATCGGGGCGCGCGCTTCCTCGCGGATGGGACCGAAGCGGCGATAGGTCTCCTGACGGTGCGCCACGCCAGGCCGCCGCCGCCTTGCGCTCGGCCTCCTCCGCGGTCATGATTTAAAACCCGTCGGCTCCATCGCCGTGTACGGCGTTCAACTTTGGCACCACCGCCTTTGCTCCTCCCCATTGTTCAGATCCAACTCTGTGCGGTGGCTGCCGCGGAAGACTTTGCGTCTCGGACTAGGACGATGCAAATATGCCTTCCGGTCGACCTCGTCCCTAAAATGCATGCTCCGATTGCATCTTCGGTTGGAGCCGGCTAAAACACGGTGCGCGACCGATTTTAGGTATGCGTCGCCGTTTGCATGAGCCGTTGGAGATAGTCTTAGAAGATCAAAAATAGGTATTGAACTCTTTCAGCCTGTTCGCTTGATCGTGTTTGGCTAAGCCATAGTTGAAAGTACTGTTGGCTAATTTAATGTGAGAGAAAAATACTATTCGTTGACCGAAAACCAGCCAAAAAGCCCAAACAAATAGAACGTTTATCTATATCGCTACTCAAAGAATGAATAGATCTTGTATTTTGGATCGCGGTTGTTGTTGACAGTCGAGGTCCAGGCTCCAGAGGCTCATGTAGTGAGAAATCCGTCGGTCTAGTAGGAAAACACGAAACTTAAAGCGCCCCTTCCACCCGAAAGAACCCTTCGAGTTCCGACCTGCTGCAGTGCTCACACGTTTCTCACCTCCCGCCGCCGCCGCCGAGGAAGACACTAGCCATAGCAATTAGCAAGCAAGTGCGAGGAGGAGCCAGCGTAGCCATAGATGGCCAACAAGCGTCAGCGGGAGGCGAACCCAGACCTATTCCCTCCGCAGCCCGCCCCTTCTGCCGACGGCGCCAAAAAGAAGAGCAAGAAGAACAAGAAGAGCATGTTCAAGAAGCCCAAGAAGGGCGGCACGGGGAGGTTTAAGCACCCGCTGCGGGTTCCCGGGATGCGCCCCGGGGAGAGCTGCTTCATCTGCAAGTCCACCGACCACGTCGCCAAGGCTTGCCCCGAGAAGGCCCTCTGGGACAAGAACAAGGTACGAACCTACTATAGTCACCTAGAAATAGACGCGCCGTAGTTAGAAACTTGTAAGGCTAGTTTTGTTTAGGGAAGAACCAATTGCTAAAGATGCCATGGACGCCGAATGATGTAGCATTATACCTGACCTTTGAAGTGGATTTAAAGCAACTGTAATTTTTTTCCTGATATTGTTGGGTAGAACCTTCAAAGTTTAGAACCGAACAAATGATGGTGACTTTCAATAGTCTAGGACCGCCGTTGTGCAACTGCTAACGCATACTTGCTAGATGTATACTCTCAATTGGACTTTTGGGCAAACATGTGCCACGTTGATTAGTGATTATATGATGAACTGGAAGCTTCCTGCTGTCACATGCTCGTGTTAATTGACTGCATTGAGTGTTAATTAGTGGTGTTTCTAAATGTTTTTTTTCTGTCCGTTGGTTTCATAACTGATAGCCCATTTGAAGTGATCCGTTTCAGTTTCCTTGAAAAATATAATAATACAATTTTTTTTCTCTAGATTTGCTTGCTTTGTAGGGAGCGGGGCCATAGTCTTAAGAACTGCCCTGAAAAAAGCGAGGGAAATTTGAAGAAATTTTGCTATAACTGTGGTGAATCTGGACATTCTCTTTCCAAGTGCCCCAAGCCCATTGAGAATGGTAATCCTTGTGCATCCATCGTAGACATTTCAGGTACTCGATGCCTGCTAGCAGTGTTATCATTGCTTGCTTATGTGGTTTCTATCTGCAGGGGGAACGAATTTTGCAAGCTGCTTTATCTGCAAACAGCAAGGACATTTGAGCAAGAACTGCCCTGAAAACAAACATGGCATCTATCCAAAGGTACTTTACATACTCACTCATGCCTTCTCAATTCTCATGATACTGTGAATGCAAGGCATTGCTTCCATTATGCGGCAATAGTTTATTAGAAACAAATATGACATGCGCTCATGCCTAACAGGAAGTGTTTTTGGTTCATTATCATTCTTTTTAGTTGCTAAGCTGCTGTGGTCACCTGCAGCTTGAGAACCGCGTTTTTTCTTTCTTGTTTTGCATAATGATGCATCATGCAAACAAATGGATTGGGAAGTCTTCAAATATATGGTAAAGATTGATAAGATGTTAAGTGGAGGAATTTTTTATTTTTTCTATGAATTCTATCCGATCTGCCTTTAAATCTAGCTTGAACTTATCTTTACAATTCTCTCTGACGGTTATCCTTGCTCAGAATTCAGATACTCAACAGCTCATATAAACTTCTTGATTGAATTTCAAGTCCCTCAAATAATCTCCCAAATCCATCCCCTGGGTGGTCCTGCACAAGTGCACAGACCTATCTGATGAAAATCATATTTTGAGACATCAATACTCTTTAATGTTGAAGCATTTTTCATTTATTATTGTTGAGACTGCTTCTACTTGATTTGTTTTGTTTTTCTATTAATTTGAGCATCCTTGCATGTGAATCTCAACTCCATACTATTTTCAGGGTGGTGGTTGTAAGGTATGTGGAGAAGTTACCCACTTGGCCAGACATTGTCCGAATAAAGGGAAACAAGATTTGATATCCTCCAGAGATGATGGTAAGCAGGCCAAAAATCTACTTAATGTAACTTCGCAATATCAGAATTGTTTTTTACACATTATCAAGATTGGAGCATGAACCAGCACATGCAATGTTCTTGTTATTGATCTATATATTCAAACTGCCTATTGTTATTGTCCAGTCTCTGCAGTAAGCAGACAAGTGTTTCGCAGTATTGTAATGGTTTATATGAATATGGACCGTATTCTTGTCTGGTATATTTGAAAATAGAAATAATTTTACCATACCCGTAAAATGATGATTCAAGAAATGAATATAATTAATTTGTTCTTAAGATAAGAGGTATACTTTTTTTTGTTTTTATTGGAGAACTTAATTTGTATAGGAATTCTGTATATCGTGGCGTCACACTGTTAGGATGGATGGAATTTGCTTTTTATTTGTTAAATTAATGATGGTTGGCTGAAATAAATTCTAATTTGTTATATTACATTGAGATGGCCATTAAGCTGGTCTGCTGATTCAATTGAACTTCTGTAGTTGTCCCGGTGCAGGAATAAGAATAGCTAATGTCTGGTTTATTTTTCTTATATCAGATGTCAACATGGAAGAGCACAATCAGGAAGGTCCTGCCATTCACCATGGTGGAGATGACCTTGAAGATGATTTCGTTGATGAAGAAGAACCAAAACCCGCCAAATCAAAAAAGGCAAAGCAATCAGGTCCAAAACCAGCAACAGGGACGGGAAATGACGAGAAGAGTGCCAGTGCGAAGACAAAAGCGAAACAAGCTCCAAAAGTTGTAAAATTCTTTGGTTAAAGAATGGAAATTGTGTTGTAGTTTAAGATACAAATGATCCTTCTGGACAACCCCGTACTGTCAAGCGGTTGTGTAACGCTGATGACGATGAGAATACGTATGCCAACTACATACGCCTCTGGTTGCCCCTAAGGGCTTGTTTCGTTTGATCAGGAATAGGGCCCAGGAATAATTCCTAGCTGGAATGATTCAATAATTTATACTAATCTTGAGGAGCTGGAATTGTTCCTGGTGCATTCCGAGAAAACCGAACAGCCCCAAAGTGTTCTTCTCATTGTTTGGCTAGCATTGAGTTATGCAAAAGCCAGTACAACGATTACAATATGGGATTCGCTCAATTTTCACATCCAGATCGATACGGTTTTGCTTTTACGTGTTTCCTGTTCGTTCCTTGAAGAGCACGAGATAAACCAGCTGCCCTGGTAGCAATCTGTGTTTCTGTCAAATGTTCAGACGCTAGAGAATGGTGTTCCTCATGTGTTGTGCCAAAACTAGCAAAGGTGAATCTGATGACCAGCCATCAGCCATGTCGCTTCGCTGTCACAGCTCACGGTCACGGTTAGTGTTCCTCATGTTGTGCCAGCCCGTTGAAGCTAGCGACGATGGCGCGCATGCCTAACGGACTACCGGCCGCGCACGAAGGAGGGGACGTGCTTGGTCAAGCGCGGCCTCTCCTCCTAACGTGGCGGCATGGCGCCGGCCTCACGTCCCGTTTCCTATATTTCGCCTGCTCCCGGCATTCCCTCTCTCCCAGGCCTTGAAAACCTTTGCTCCCCTGTCTCGGCGCGATCGCCATCGCCATTGCGCACCGCCTCCCCGTCGTCCCCTCCTCGCCCGCCACCGTCGAGCCCCGCCCGGCTGTGGAAACAAAACGAACCCATCGACCATGGTGAGTGAGCACTTGATAAACTTTCACCTGATGAACGTATAATTTGCCAACGGTGATGCGCGCGTGTGGATCTTGCTTGTTGTGGCAAATTCATAATAAATGATGCAATGCAAGCAGGCGAACTCGGCGTCGGGGATGGCCGTGAGCGACGAGTGCAAGCTCAAGTTCCAGGAGCTCAAGTCGAAGCGGAGCTTCCGGTTCATCACGTTCAAGATCAACGAGCAGACGCAGCAGGTGGTGGTGGACAGGCTGGGGCAGCCCGGCGACACGTACGACGACTTCACCGGCTCCATGCCCGACAGCGAGTGCCGCTACGCCGTCTTCGACTTCGACTTCACCACCGACGAGAACTGCCAGAAGAGCAAGATCTTCTTCATCTCCTGGTAATAATATCGAGACCGTACGTCGTCCGATTATACTGCTTGCTGCATGATCTCTCTTCATTCGCCGTATCGATATATCATCTCCGTATGCATATATACATTGCCTTGCACCGCCCTGCAGGTCCCCGGACACGTCGAGGGTGAGGAGCAAGATGCTGTACGCGAGCTCCAAGGACCGGTTCAAGAGGGAGCTGGACGGCATCCAGCTGGAGCTGCAGGCCACCGACCCCAGCGAGATGAGCATGGACATCGTCAAGGCGCGAGCTCTCTGATTCTGAAGACAATACGCGCAGCCGCCGCTCGCGCGATCGACATGCATGCCCCGGATCGGAACAGTGTTGTGTTGTCTTGCATCGACCGGCCGGTGGCCTATGCCTGCCTGCATGTACCCGTGTGCCGTTTTTGCGCCACCGCCGCCGGTGCCAGTGTTCTCTTACTCCATGTAAAGATTTAGACGGCATATATGTCGATGATCCTTGCTTTTGTTGCCGAGGTACAATATGGGCCAATTTGGCATAGCTCGGCTTCACTAATAAAGCTGTTTTTTTAGTTTTAACTTTATGACCAACTTTCTGAATGAAGCTAAGCTGTTTCATTCATCCTGTTTGGCAAAACATCTGTCTGGATGGAGAAAAAATGAATAAATTACACGAATGCCCTTAGCCTTATCTTCTTCCCTTCCACGCCCTTTCTTCCCCACCCGACGACCCGACGCCCGTGAGCCCCAGACGGTCGGGATTTTTAACTTTTTACCATCCTTACCGATGGCACTCCTCCGTTTGTCATCTTTATACACACCCCTACACATTTACCATCGCAAACAGTAACCATCATACGTTTTTGCCATTTTTGCTGGGGTGGCACGCTAGATGGGCACGCCAGCGTGGCAGGGAGGCTGGGAAGGCCTACAAAGCATACAAAATGACCTATGTACCCTTGCTGCTTCTCTCCCTCCAATCGCTGACGCGTCGGCTCCACATGTCAGCTTCGTCTTCAACCCCCCCCCATCACCCGCTCAGCATCAACGGCGGCATGTACAGTGCCATCCCGTCCTCGACGGCGGCCCCACAGGGCACCGCGCAGCTGGCCACGTCCGTCTCCATCATCAGGCGGTGTCGTGGTGGACAGGTCGCCGCTGCTGCGTCGTCGGATAGCGGGTAGGAGGACGGGTGGGTGGTGTGCAGGGTGTTCAAGAAGAAGCACCACCGCAAGGAGTCATCAGGCGGAGGCGGGGCGATAATAATGAGCACGAACGCACGGCGGCGGCAAGGTGTGACTACTTTGCTGACTACTGCGGCGCGCAAAGCTTACGGTGCACGCCGCTCAAATGACGAACGCCGGGGGCGATCCTCGCATTACATGGCGCAGTCTGCAAGGCGAGCACGTACCTCCGCCCGGCGGCGAGCACCGTCGGTACCTCCGGCCCATCAAGACCGTCACGGGCGAACGCGTTCATGAAGTTGCCCTCGCCGAGAGCCCGTCCGCGGCAGCATGCCGGCGCCGCCGACGCCGCGCAGTTGCACGCCGTTCTCGGCGACGCCGCCGCCGCAGCCGGCGTCGTCGTCGACGACCTCCTCGGCCTCCACCGCCGCCGGGATCGGGATCACGGACTGGGCCACGATGGACCGGCTAGTGTTGTCGCACCTGAACGGGCAGGCGCCCGACGACGCCACCGGCGCCAACAACGCGGACGACGCCAGCCTCGCCTTCTACTCCGCCGCCGCCAACCGGCTGCTCGGCTCCGCCATCGGCTCCAGCGGCACTGGCAGCGATGACGACCTGTGGAGCTTCATGCACTCCTCGGCTTCGGCAGCGGCGGTGGTCGCCACGTCGACGACACCGCCTGATGATGGAGACAAACGTGGCCAGCTGCGCGGTGCCGGTGGGGCCGCCATCGAGGACGGGATGGCGCTGTACGTGCCGCCGCCGATGCTGAGCGGGTGATGGCGCGGGGTTGAAGACGAAGCTGACATGTGGGGCCCACGCATCAGCAATTGAAGGGAGAGAAGCAGCAGGGGTACATAGGTCATTTCGCATGCTTTGTAGGCCTTCCCAGGCTCCCTGCCACGCTGGCGTGCCACCTCAGCAAAAATGGCAAAAACGTAGAAGGGTTACTGTTTACGATGGCAAATATGTAGGGGCGCGTATAAAGATAGCGGAGGAGTGCCGTCGATAAGGATGGCGAAAAGTTAAAAATCCCCGTACGGTCGTGTCCTTGCGCTCTGTGGTCACGCCACCCAGCTGTCGCGTCCCCCGCAGCGGCATCCCCGGCCACGCTCCCTGGCTCGCTCCCAACGGCGGTGTCCCAGCCCCGCGCTCCGGCTCCGCATTCTCCCTCGCAGCCGCGCCCGGGGGCTAGCTCCCCACGGCGGCGCGCCGATGCGCCGGCGGCGCCACCCAGCAAGCCGGCTCGGCGTCTTGTATCCCCGGCTGGCCTCGCGCCCTGGCTCGCTCCCAGCGGCGGTGTCCCAGCCCCGCGCTCCGGCCCTTCTTTTTCGCTATCCCGTGCTTGTGTCTGCTGTGTTCAAGAAACAACCGCCGCCGTTTTTCTTGATGCCGTGGACCGCCGCCGTCGTCATCTTCCTGCCGCTAAGAACCGGCCAATCGAGTTCGCGATGTCGCCCTGGTGCCGTAGAGCCGCCCTGCTCGCGCTTTTGTGGACTGGAGCGCGAGATCGAGAGTCGCCCGTGCGCTATCCCCGCCCTTCCCCGGCGGCGTTCGCGTCCTCGGCTCTGCACCCGGCGACCATGAGGACCGACGACCCTGCGCCCGCGCCCAGCCCAGGGTCCAGGCCGTCACGTCCCGGTGACAGCGGCACAGCAAAAAGACCCTCGCCCGCGCCACACACACAAACGCCCGAGCCTCGCGCGAGGCGGCGCCCCCGAGCCTCGGCGAGGCGGCCCCTTCTCCGCCTTCTCCAGACTCCAGCGCGACCAGCTGTGAGGACAAATCAGAGACATACAAAGACTGGCCCACTTGTGTCAGATAAAGCTAGAAAAAGCTATTTTTTTAGCTTCATCTCAACTTCTCCTGTTTTGTGAGAGGAAGAAAAATAGCTTCACCCGTAAAGCTGTTTTGAAAAATAGTATTTAAAAAAAAACAGCTCACAGTAGCTGGGCAAAACAGGCCCTATATATCTTCCGCTGCTCCGTGGGTACGGTATCGTCACTCCATATAGGCACTAGGCAGTGCCATTTCGAAGGGAACTGTTGCAAATTTTAACTAACTTGTTTTTAGAGTGCGTTTGGTTGGACATATTCCTTCCGTCACATAATTCACACTTTGCATATGTACGACGTTATCTATAAAATATAGCTTTAATCATTACTATTTTATTCACAAAACTTTTATTTAATAAAGGGTAAAGTATATTTTTCAACCTCCAACTCACATTGAAGTTTAATTTTCAACATTTAACTATGAAACCGGATAATAGACACCCTCCAACTATCAAAACCGGATAAATTTGGTCCTCGGCTGATTTCAGAAGCGGTTTTCTATTTTCTAATAATAATAAAAATCCGGTTCAATCTCTAGAAGTTCATAATTTCATTTTGAATTATAAAAAATATGAAACTAGTTCATGTTTTCTTCCAAATATGTTATATATATGTTGATGCTATATTTAAAATTGATGCTATTTTGGCTAATGAACAGAAAAAGAACAATGAATTTGGGGGGGATTTAGAAAAGAACAATGAAAGAGAAAAACAAAACAGAGTAAACTCCTCTTGACAGTTGGGATTGGGGCGCCGGTACAAATAAATGTTTGTTATTACCGAGAGCATCCAAATCAATTTGGCATCATTTCCCATGTCCTTATGCGACTTTGAATGCTCCTTGGAGTATACAAACGGCATGTACGGCCCAAGTTTTTAGAATAGTACAATCCATTAGCCGACTGAAACTGATTTGTTGTGAGAGAAAAATATTCAAGCGAACAGGCTGTCAATAAATTATTTAATGTTTGTATGTAACCGTGATTAATCATGAATATTATTTGTGTTGCTAATTGATACAAAACAGATAGTTCAATATATGGTCACATAGAAAACACAAACTAGCCCTGCTTGCTTTGATAACTTGATCACAGAAAATAGAGTTCGGCATCACAAAAAAAAACATTCAGTCTCATACAGTCTATTACTGAAAGAACGAATCAGGAAAACAAAGCAAGTGAAAAAAAACGAATGAGGAAGCACCGCACGGGAAGGATCTGAAGCATACGGCTGCTCTGCACCGATGGAGGAGGGATCATACTAATTGCTGGTTGCCGCATTCCAGCACCCCCGGCCGCGTCGGATCCGGGTGCTGCTGTCGCCGAGCTGTTGCCGTGACCGAAGGGGTGGGTGCCGGCCGCCTTGCTGTTGCTGCCGCGTCCGATTGCGGAGATGCCGCACCGGATGCGTGTCTCGGCGACGAGTTCGTTCAACGCGGCGCGTCCTCCTCGGTTCGACCTTGGAGCACGAGCCATCCTCGTCGTCTCACGAGACGATGAGCACCGCCAGCTCCCAGCTCGCGAGGGGGTTTTCGCTAAAAACACCGCACGCAGACGAGAAAAAAAAGACGCGCTGTACATGCCCTAATAGTAACGATAAGAAGAAAAATCAGTAAAAAAAGCAGTACGTGTACACAAAGCGGGGCACTGCAAATGCGGCAAAACTTAGTCTAGATTTGTTCTTTTCTATTATATAAGAGGGTCTTCAAAATTATTTCTGAAGCTCACTCTCTAAATCATTATTTAGAGACTCGATTTAGAGACTCATTTGTATAAAAATCGCTTTCTATATTTTTTCACACTCCAACAGTTTTTTCATATCTGGTGTCACTGCCGAGTGTCGATCATGAGTTTATTTTTTTTTAAACTAGAAGAATTTACCGTGCATTATTATAGTATTATATAAAAAGAAAGGTGTTAAAAGTTGGAAAGTATGAGATTCTTTTTTAAGGGAAGGGGCCGAGAATTATATCATAACTTGACACAACACATCCCTAAATTAAACACAGAAATTTGAAATAAAAAATATATAATTTTTATCTAGATTTTTTCTATCTTTATCTTCCTAGTAGCTTTGCTCGATGCAGAACAGAGCTTTATCGAACTACAAAGCTAAAGTGCAAATTTTTACGCTAAATCCAATTATCAACCTCCAAAATATTGGACATTTCGTACTATCTAACATTCCTGAATGAATCAGTCCAAAACTCATTTAAAATGTTGAAAAAACATCGACAGATACACCATCGGGTACAACATAGGTTGCAGATTTGT